AGCGGAGGGTAGTGTTGTCAACGGCGCTGGGTGTCATAGCCATAGCTGGAGAGAGAGAGAGAGAGAGAGAGAGAGAGAGAGAGAGAGAGAGAGAGAGAGAGATGCTGAGAGAAGCCTAGGCGGAGAGAGAGAGACGTGAGAGAGGAAGAAGAGAGAGGCTTACCTACATGTTGAGTTAGGCATCCATAGCCGCCGTTGACGAAGACGATGACTGAGTTTTTGCGTTGACTATGGAGACTCTTTTGGGCTTCATATCTCCTGTGTGTCTCATGCGAGTGCAGTGTGATGCGAGCCTTGTCTTCGACTATGTTGCATGCATGGCCCTCCCTCTAATTAGTGCCTTTGCAGTTTCAACTGACATGAGTTGAGAAGGAAGATCAAATCAGAATCAACAGCTGACAAGGTAAAAAAAAAAAAAAAAAAAAAAAAAACTGTCTAATTGAAACTGCAAAGGCACCAATTAGTAATTACCCAGAATTTCCTCAAACCGTAGTAGTACGGTAGTACCAATGATTGATTTTATCAATTCATAATTTCATATGGCTTTAAAGTTTAAAATAAGCAAACGACTGCAGTGCGCCCACACCTCCATAATTCCATAATAGACAGGAAAAAAAGAGAGTCCAAACACTTTGACGTTTGAACAGCGCACGGTTTGAGCTCTCGATCTGTAAGACCCAACAGTGACCATTCACACACCAAGACAACAAAGTGGAAATCAGTATAGGTACAGAGTGGAAACACATTGTGTACTACTACTACCTTCCAGTGGAAATTCATTTTTGAAAGTTTTCAACTTTTCCTCGAGTTAATAGTAGATTTGTCGTGTGCTTCGGGACAGAAGATTATCATGGCCCCTGCGCAAGGATGACACGCATAAATCGAGAAATGGTCCAAATTTTTTGTCTTTAAAAAAAAAAAAAAAAAAAAGTAGATTTGTCGTACGTAGAGTCTTTCTGCTGTGCTCTTTGTTTCTCTCTCTTTTTCAGTTTCCCTTTTCGTCCCCTTGGAGGAGTCGATACTCTTTTTCAGTTTTCCTTTTTGTAGCCTGTTACTACCGTCTTCACCCGAATACAACGCCCGGTCATTATCGCTGCATCTGGACTGCAAAATGCCCCAAATACAGCTACAATCACCAGGCGTTTTATTCGGGTGAAGACGGTAGCAACAACTCGGCAAGCCGGTTAAGAACCCACACCGCCAAAAGCTCGGAAGAGTCAAAAAAAAATTCCAAGTAGTCCAAAGAGCTGGACGAGTTGAAAGAGTCGAAAAAACTTCAAAAGAGTCCAAACATGCAAATGAAATGAAAGAGTGCAAAGAACGCAAAGACTCGAAAAAAACAAAAGAGTCGGCACAAAAACCTTTCGACCCTTTCAGTTCTTTGGACTCTTTCGGCTCTTCCAACTCTTTCGTCCCTCAGGTTTCTTTCAACTGCTACTCATCCCAACCGCCTGCCAGCAAAGCGCTTAAACTCTTTTTCCTCTTTTACTCTTTTAACTCTTCTGAGCTATTGTAATACACCTCTTCCGAGTTTCATGAGTCCCTTTTTTGTGCCGACTTTGGGTCCTTATTACAGATATGCTCTCTCTCTCTCTCTCTCTCTCTCTCTCTCTCTCTCTCTCTCTCTCTCTGTTTTTCTTTAACTCACCGACATTCCTCTTCTAGTAGGACTTTTAACAGGTGGCACCACTTAACAACAATGGAATGCGTCGCTATTGGCATAGTGAGTGTACTACCTGTCGATAGCATCACAGCATAACAACAGAAGAGTCAGAACGCCACAGACACTGAAATGACAGAAATTACAGACAGTTGCGTGCTGGTACTGCATTCATGTCTGGGATTTCTTAACAACACCGACATGTGACGTGCCCTTCACTCTTCTTGTGCATTTCCGTCATTATAAGCGACGAAGTCATGTCATATCAAATGAAATGATGAGAGGAGGACGGCAACAACTCTATTGATGCGATCCCTTTGTGGCAATCGCCGCAATTCCATTGCGCATGCGATGATGACATATAGGCACACTGGACATTGTGCGGGGACAAGAAATTTGAAGAAAGTTGAAGAAATTTGAAGAAAAGAAATACTGAAAGACTGAAAGGAATCGAAATTTCAAATTCATACACAGCTTGGCATGGGGCCCTTTTAAAAAAAAAAATGATGTTATTATCTTGTTTTGGTGGGGCCCAAAATTCATAGAAGCCTCTTTCAGGTTTTTCTTCTCTCCAGGACCTCACCCGAAAACCTGAATGCTACAAAGAGTGAAGTACCACATTACTATCACTACCGTCCTACATTATTATCTTGTGCATGCTACAAAGAGTGAAGTACTATGCTACAAAGAGTGAAGTACTACATTACTATCACTACCGTCCTCACCCGAAAAGAGCGCCCCGGTCATTACAGCTGTGTACCTCAGGGCAACATTCAGTCTTAGATGCAGGCGCCCTGATCATAACGACTGGGTGCCGTATTCGGGTCACGACGCTAGCTAGTACTCCTTGCTGTCTTCTACAGTTACGCTACATTACTATCATTAATTAATAATTAATTAATAATCCCATCACATCATGTCAGCAACCAATGTGTTTGAGCTTTGCACTTAAAACTTCGAAATTTGAGTTCATCAACCCTTATACGCGCCGCCACCTGTTCGCAGCAGATTGGCTTGCTGTGAGCCTACATAGTATTAAGGTTTTCCAAAGCAAAGTGACTGAAGTGCAGGTCGAGCGGATGAAGAAAATCCAAAACCCTGACAAGAAGTGGGTTAAACAAAAACACACACACAGGAATTAAATTCAATTAATGCACCCCTCCCCTCCCCTATCCAAGCAATTTGACCCCTCCAAATGGGTTGATTCCACCACACCTGCACCCCTTTATATCGGTCGGTATGACTTGGTAACATAATTACGAGCCTGCCTGCCGACGCTGCCGTTGCTTCGCCAGCTCACCGAAGTGGCTTGCATCAACTCAACCTGTGTTGGACTGCTGCTGCTTGGCCTGCTTTGGATGACAGAGTAACCAGCCTGCAGTTGCTTTGCCGCTTCGCCGTAGTCGTTTGCTACCGTAGTAGGCGAGCGTGCAAGAGAGAGAGAGAGAGAGAGAGAGAGAGAGAGAGAGAGAGAGAGAGAGAGAGAGAGAGAG